TCGAGGATCTATAGCGACAAAATAATCGTATTTTCTTTATTCTAATTATAAGTTATTACAACACAAATAATCGGTAGGGAAACAGCTCGTTGAGTTGCGATATATGTATAAAAATACAGATTCAAGGACGAGCTCGTATCCTCTTTCTCGTCTCTTTATTCGTCTTCTTACGTAAATAGTGAATTTCCAGGATCGTCGCCTCGATTGAACGTCATAATTTAATTACAACGGGATTTATTCGCCGTGCAATATTCTTAACGTAGAAGAATCTACGCGAAAGAGCATTCGATGAGATTTCTTTTCTAATATTTTACATTGAAAAATATATCATATTTCGTTGCAGTAAGGATACGTTTTTATAGGCGCCATTAAAACCGCCATTACAGTAAAAGGATACGAGTTCGCGTTTCTTTACAACTTGAGGCTATCGGTTATTATTGAGCGTGTTCCGAGATAATAAAAGATTTAATGTAGTTCTCGCTCTTTTTTTCAACGGGCGATTCTTGTTCTTCGATCGGGCGACTTCGCGCAGTCTCGCCGCGAAATTATGTCTCATTTTTGCGTCGGTTGTCCGGCATAATTTCAAGATATCGTAACAAATTTACCAGTTGAAATCAGAATCATTGTTCTCTCATAGTATGTACTTTGCTAATTATAATTATAATTAACTAATTATAATTTACATTGTTGTATTATATACGATTATATTACTGTAAGTCAATGTGATAGTTGGCATACTAGCTCTCTGCACATTCTGCATTCGCCGCATTCGTTCACGTCTTCGGATGTTATGATAATGCAATTTTTTGTTGATTCACGATATTATATAACTTTGAAAAACGTAATAAAAAATTTCTGCATCCGTCAAAATGAGAAATGTACCAATTTCACGCCCATAGCCATGAAAATCCGATATTGTTTTTGCGATAGAATAACAATATTATAAATTTCGTTATTTTAACACACATATTTAAAATATTTCTAGGGGCTGCGCGATCTGTGCCCGAAATCTATTTTTGTACTAAGAAAAGAGAAATCGAAATTAATGAAAAGGAGGCTGTTGCTTCCTTTCCCTTTCTACGCGCGTCTATCTTAATGAATCTCTCATTGTCACATTTGTGGCACTTTCCTGTAGAGTTTTTCAGTCTGGTCCAGGCGTTATAAGAAGGCACTGAGAGATTATAAGAATAGCTGATAAGTTGGAGTAGTTAATATCTATGAGAGAGAAAGAGAGAGAAAGAGAGAGTATAATATTAGGCTAAAAATCCTAATAAGTATGATGGAGTAGAATTATAGTTTTGCAAAAAGTATTTTGTTTTTATCTTTCTTAGCATTAAAAATATTCTATCCAAATAATAAATCCATATCCGATTTAAAAAAACGATTATTAATAAGATTTGAAAAATAAGCTATTATCTATCAATATTTAATTTTAAACAGAATATTTGAAAAAATATCATAAAATCATTATTTAAGAAATTTTTATTTTGTATATTTATAGAATTAAACTTGACCGAGTATTATTTTATCTGCTATAGATACGACAGTTATTTAATAAACAAATACGAATTTATGAAAATACACGTATTATTTTTGTATAAATATAAAAAAATGTTTTCTATTCAAATTTGATTGTAAAAGGGGCAATGTATTTATATTTATTTTTGTTTTTGTAACTAAGAACTGATTTGACGATAAAGTGATAAATTCATATCTAATAAGAAATATGTGACAAAGTTATTTTACAGCAATTCTTTTTTTTCTTAATAGAAATGTGATGTGATATTAGTTTTTGTAGTAATTGTTGATCTCTATCTTTTTCTCTTTCTGTCATTCATTCTTCCTTTGAACTATCGCTTTTCTGTTTCTCTTTCTTGATCTCTCATTTTAGATGAAGGTAGGGGATAGAATACGTTTTTATTGATATGAGATTTTGAAGGAATCGATGCGCAAGTATGTGCGTTTATTGCGATTTTGAATGGAAAAATTCAGAAATTCAGAAATTCAGAAATTTCATCGAATTCTTCTGCAAATGAAATTCAAAGATTCGTTAACGGAAAAAAATCAGAATGATTAAATATAGATCTCTAATATTGTTATTTATTTATTGCACATTAATATTTTATAAAATAACGAATTATTTTTTCAACAAGGGGAGATAAAGAGAATTCATTGGAAGCAAAATATCTTTTCTTTCAAAATAGTAAACCATGAGGTAATGCATTTGCGGCGATAAAAAGATAATTAATAAAATTTAATTTATAATTAAATATAATTTATTAAATTTGAGTTATTTCATGTAAAATATCTTTAGAGCAGAAACCGTAACATTTTATTAAATAATATATAATACAAGAATTTATTTTGTTATAATTAATGTACTTCTCGTTCTTGTAACATAAATATTAATTTTTTCGTGGATGTTTGAAGAAGTTTATGAGAAGCATAATTGTCCGATTTGTGATTAATTGATCTTTTAATTGGATTAACAACGCTGCAGATGCGTGCCTATTTTGTGCGTAATCGCGGGAAGTAGTTGAACAGTTGATTACTGCATTGCACTTAGCGTTTAAGTTGAAGAAAGAGATAGGAAATAAAGAGAAAAAGAATAAAAAAAGATAAGGAAGAAGGTAGAAAGTAGTCAGATATGTAGAATATATATCAGGATATCAACGCGTAGCACTCTCTACTTCATCCTCTATCATATTGTAATAAAATCTGTCGTTTTCTTGGTTACGCCTATATATAATATACGTATTTACATTTATATGAATATTTTTAAGATGTTTTTGTGAATTTATAATATCGTAATAAAAATTTCGAATCTCTCGTGTTACGAGGTTTGTTAAATGACCTTGATACACGATAATAATTTCTCGTTCGTGCGTTGGAAATATTTTTAAGTATTACTTAATGTTTGAAATTTTTCTAAAACATTTTCATATTTTCGGATAGAACACGTTCTTCTCTTTTCCTTAGTACATTTTATTCAAGATTTATTTCATATACATTTTAGTGTAACTAATTTGAAATCTATCGGCATGTTACATGAAATCTCTACTCTGGTCTAAAAAGAAAGTAAGGCCACAATTTGTAATAATACAACTTCGGAAACTCTCAAACATGTTGACTGTCAAAGGAAAATGTCTCTTTAAATAAATGAATATATATCTGAAATTTATGTTATTCCCTTCTTTTGATTCCACATATTATAATTTTTTACACTAATTTTACAGAATAATGTCTATGTTTATGTGAAAATAAAGAAGAATAATTATTAGAAAATAATTACAAAAGAAACGTTTTTTTAATGATATGCATATAGAACTTTCTTGATGTATTTTCGAATATGGAGAGGGAGAGAAAAAATTTTACAGACACGATGTCTGTGAATATAATTGGTTTATTACGCTCAACTTTTTGTTCTACACTGTAGCTCTATGCTAAAGTCGACAAAAATTGGCTAACGCTTTGGACTACCCGATATACAGAATTGATTCGATTCCTTGCCGAAACTCGTCGGTGATAATTAATTACAGTGTATTTTGGCTATGTACAGATTTACTAAATTAAAAAAAACCATCATTTCTCTCGCTTTCCGCAAAAGTAGCTTTAATAAAAAAGGTCTACACTGTTTTGTAAAATTTTGTAATAATTTGCTAAAGATAAAAAGTAAAAAGAAGAAATATATAGAAAATGAAAGAGAAAGTCGAACAAAGAAACGGAGTAAAAAAAAAGAGAATAGGTGAAGAATCAATGAAAATTGTGGCACGACTTATTAGAACCCATGCTTAGTGCTCGCTTAACATTAATAATCATGTCTTTCTATGTACAATTTGTAAACGTTTCACTAAAGCTAAAATATATATATAAACATTATACGCTACTTAGATATATGTTGTACATAATATAAAAAAGGTGTACTTGTCGTCGAAGAAAAACGGGAAAATGCTCCCTCCTAATTCTACATGACGAAAAAGTAAGAATCTGATAAACGGCGAGCCTGTGAATCCAAATATCTGTGTAAAACGGTGGATCTACGATGAGATCAGAGATCTATGGCACCACGGATCTAGAAATAGAACATATTTATGAAACCACGATTCATGAGTGCAAGCGCGATTCGTGAATTTAAATTTATTATATACAGATCTCAAGAGAGCGATCGCGCAATCGCGGAATTATGAATCAAAAGATTTATGAATTGAAGGAGCAACGTATATAGAAATCCGTTTTAGATGTGCGATTTACGGATAAATCTCCGAATTTAATTGGGGTTCAAAGATCTCAAAAAGCGAAAGAGAGTTTGAGAAACCGCAGATCTATGATTCATCAGAATGAATTCGATGATTCATTGAACTGCGGATGCGGAGACCCGCAAAAAGATACGAACACAGATATACGAATACAAGATTCGGTAGAAACACAGATCTGTGGATTCAAAGACCTTCGAGTCCACATACATTTATATGTGTACACATACATATACATATAATCGATCGATTGCGTTAAACTGGGATGTACATGCTATGCCGCGAGCCTGCTCATCGGCCGAAATACTGCACGGTGTTCCGAAACATTACAAGACATCTGCTGCTAATTGCTAAAGTCCTCACGAATTCAAGCATATCGGTTTCGTTTTATCAAATGCTAAAAGTACTTACGCACATGTATATCTCTTGTTCAATAGAGCTCTATTTCTGCGTTTGTCGAGTGATTGTACACAAGCCTCTCAGTGAAGTCCATATAAAATTCATAAGGCAGCATTTACAGTTATTAAAAAATGCCAATAATTATGAGATTACAATACAATATAATGACACTACATATTGTCAATTACGGTATCTCACATCAATTTTTTTTGTTCGATTGAATAATTCAATAATAATTCAATATCCCATGAGGGACGACCTTAAAACTAGATAAGTCGCGCGTTCTTGATTTACAAATAATGTACGCGACCTGCATTGACATAAAATTCAGGATTAAATTACACCAAGTTAGAGCTAAATATTAGTTTTATTTTTTGTGCTTCACTCTGTGCGACACAAGATTATCCATTTTCCGATATTTGCACGACTCTAGCTTGACTCGCAATGCTTCCTCTCGGATCTACGGGATTTCGCGTGAAATCGTGACGCACACATACACACATGTGAGATCCATGTTCCGGACGTCATGGCTGCTGACGTGTACTTGTGCTGCTGTGACCCACGTGAGATTTCCGTACGAAAGAGCGCGAAATCGCCGCCGCTCCGCGTCGACGAACAGTCGCTACTAGAGGCACTCGAGTCAGAGTCTGACTGAAAAAATTCACTATAAAAATCAAAAAAATAATGAAATGTAAGAAGGATTTGTTAATAAAATAATGGTTATGGGTTGATAATTTAAAATAGCAATCTATGCCAATTTTGGGAAACATAAAATTGAATTAAACAAGTATTTTTATTTGAAAATGTGAAAAGATATCGATTTTGCACGTAAGAGTAATCTAAATTCATTTATAATTTTTAAAGATATTACAATAATAGAAAAAATATATTTCGTATTTTAAAGAATATATTTTTTGTGTGTGATATGAATTGTGTTATAAAAGTAAACCAGAAAAAATATAAACAAAAATATTAAGCTTTTCATTTTTTTCTAAGAAAATGTGATCCTGGAATCAGCGTGCAACTTGCAAATCAAATTTTCATTTGACAGATCTTTTTTGTGTAATATTTTATATGTATTTTTTGTATAATTATTATTGGTCTATAATTATTCGTGTAATCGTTAATATAAAATTTGATTCTTTTCTTGTTAAAACCGTGAAAGAGTATTACTCCGGCTCGAGTGCGTCCCTAGTTACTACTCGACGTTATTAACACGGGGGCACAGGAACTTACCGTTAATGCATATTGATACGAAGTGGTGACTAGTAGATTCTCGCCGAGCACTCCGCCGCGTCCGGTCTGCGCGCTCTCGCAGACAGAAGGAGCTCTTGGGAATAGAAAGATAACATCGCGAAGAATGTCGAAGAGGAGACGTAAGCTGGTAGCTTGCAAAGTCAAGAAAAAATTTTCAACTATTTTATGCTTCATCATTGTTAACAGTTACATACGTCGTTTGTCGTAATATAATACCACGATTATTCCGACGGCTTGTCAGTCAATATACGTATAGTCGTTCGTATTACATTTGCAGCGCAAGCAGCGAAACATTTTCTACCGCATTAACAGTCTATTGCCGTTTCTCATTATAGACGGCAGACTTATAAGTGCCGCGTGCATTACGTTGCTCCACGAATAAATAAGCATTTATGAATACTTATTTCACATTAATCCCTCGCAGTATATGTCGTAGGATAACTAGTAAGAAAAGTGCCATGTTCTTTGTGCTATTCGCTTACTGAGTATTTAATCGGAAGTTTCATCTTCTTCTAATAGAAAATTCAATTTTAGGAACCGATTTCGAATTCCAGAAAAAATTTTATATTTCTTTGACTATCTTACGCACGTATTTTGAAGTGTCACGTAGTTCTATGTACAGAACAAATGCACATTAATTCTAGATGTCTTCCAGCATCGTGTCTCTTCTTCATTATTCGCGTATACTAAAATGTTATCTTAGAAAGGAAAAAGGAAGAAGAGGAATGGGATCATATATTGAGTTGATTTCTCTCTAAATGCATGCAGAATGTATATCAAGTTTGATACGGCCGTTCTCGCTGCACGTCTTGCGAGATAGAGTTTTTAGAGGCCAGACGCGGCGGTGGACAAAGTGCGCGATTAATGTAAACGGCGAGCCAAATTCGTCGAACTTATTGACTGGTCCCAAACGGTTCGACATCTCGTGGCTTTCCGCCAGTGTGGCAGCGGGATGTCGAGACGCTTACATTCGTGCGCGTATGCCACGAAGGACTCGCAATAGCAGTGCTGGGTCGGGCACTCACACATATCTTGAAGGCAGGCTTTGTAGTACATCGCCGGATTTACCTTCTTGTGGCACGGATAAAAAATCTGTGACTTTAGTCGATTACATAATCTGCAATCACAGGAAATTGTAATAGAAGGCGTTCATCTTGAAATGGATATAGAATGAATTTTCAAAACATTAGCGATTATTATTATAAAATGACATGCGACAATTAATGCAAAATAATAAAAGAGAAAAAAAATTGTCAGATATAATACTATGAGAGATTGTGATTTAATTAAAAATTCATTTGGTAGAAATATATTTGTGTTACTGACAATGATCAACAATAAGACTATACTTTTTTAAAATATTACGTAAATATCATTATTAAGAATTTTAGGATATTAGAGAAATTACTTTACAATTTGTAAGCTATATAAAATAATTGATATAATGAAAATATATTCATTTTACTTTTGATATTCTTTGGAAAGATATTAATAAGGAAATAAACAAAATTATATAAAGTACCGCTGATCTTTTCTTTCTCGACAACGTCTCTGCCTGGTGTTATTTCCAACTTTCGTTCGAGGGCATGTCTTTTTGGCACCACCCACGATCCAGGATTGACCAAACTGCTGCGGATCCTGAACCACTCGTCCGTGTCGCGCAGTAAAGTCATCTTTGATTTGGGAATTGAAGTTACCACAAAGACCACATAGTTGACCTCTATACGACGAAGGCACAGACACTTCGAGAAAACTGATACCATCCCAATGAACCTTGATTCCGATCCGCGTATTGACAATCACACTGTCGTCTGTACGATTGATGTCCAGTTGGTTAGCAACGCGATAAGGGACGTCCACTTTCTTCCCGTTTACTTTCACTCTCATTTTTTGACCAAGATTCACTTTTAAATCACCGATCTGCAATACGATCGCACAGGACATTAATAGAACGTAAAAGTTTTTTTTCTTATTTGATGTTTTTTTTCTTTTCGAGTAGAGTAAGAAAATCTCACCTCAGAGAAGACTTTATTTAAAAAACGCTATTAATCTAGTTATTAAGCCAGTTCATCAATCAAAATCTATAGCCTCATTTGTAAAACAATTGAAAAATTATCTTTTAAAACGTCTTTTAGAACGTTGAAAACATTAATTTTAAATACTATACATGTGAACAAGTGATATGATATTATTCGATAAAATTCGAATGCGATAATAATACTTTGTATCATTTTCTTAGTTTTCTTTAAAAATTAGCTTTAGCCTATTCAAGAAAGCGAGATTTAAATTTATTTCGTGTTATAATTTACATTAAAATTTTCGTATAACTTAATATACCTTTATGGCGATAGTTTTGGTCCACGCTGAAAATTTCGTTTTCCTGGCATCATTGGTTACTCGTATGCTGAATGTGTGAGAAAAACAATCGGTAACTAGTTGGTACTTGCACGCTCCCTTGAAGCTGTAGAATTTTCCGTCGAACGTACGATAGTGCGGATCTCCAAAAACTGTGCAAACTCCGTCACCTGGAAGAATTAATAATTTTAATATTTTCATTAAGTACTAATCCTGTAAGGTGCAACACGATAAAACTCACGCTCTACGCATCGCGGACAGCATTGGCCTTCCGGATGTTCCAATTTAGAATTTGGCGGGCAACGAAAGTTCATCGGCGGACACTGAGGCATTGCGCAGCGCACTTTGCCCTGTTTACAGGTACATGTCTTGCAGGAATCCAGCTTCCAATTTTCGCCATCCTGCCTAGGACAAAAAAGGTCGTTTAAATGACCATGAAACAGCAACGAATACGAAATTAACTTTTTACATACGAGTAACTCTTTAAAGTAATACGTATACATATTTATCAATGTTTTTATAGAAACGTATTTTTAATAAATAGACATCGGATTCTTATGGAATTTCATATTTTTTAAAAAAGCAGATTAGAAAATAGAAATTTGTTTCATTAAAAAAGTATTCTAAAAATGCATATTTATTAGTGCACATTGTACATGTTTGCATATTTGTATGATACAAATTTGCATATTTTATGCATGTCTGCAAAAAATATCTGCATAAAAATCTGATATCTATTGAATCTGATATCTAAACATTAATTTATTCGACTAAGGCTTGTTTTAAAAAAAATTGTTTAAACTTTCCAAGTATTATCAAGCGTAAAAATACAAGCATAAAAAATTATGTACATTGTAAATCGGAAAGTTCTCGGACTACCTCAGAAAATTCGATATAGAGCACAATACCGCATCACTTTCCGCAATCCGTCGATTACTCAAATTTATAATTATAATAATATTTACAATATCGATATTATAATTTATAATTAATTTAAAATTATGAAATTTACGATTATATAATTTCTAATATTTATATTATATACATAATACGTAATCGCACGTTTTCAAGCCTTTCATATTTTAACGATAGGAAAAAATAATTATCGATGCAGGCATGCACTTATCTTTGATAGATAAAGTAAAAATCAATATAAATTCAATCCTATTTCATCCGAATTTTTTTGTTTTTTTTTTCTTTTTATTTTAAAGTGGTGCCAGCTTAATATAGCAGTGCTATGGATTTTTTCGAAATAGCACGTAGTACAAAATTATTTTTAATGATATAATTTAATAAAGTAAAAAAAGAAATAAAGTAAATATTCCAAAGATCCGATTTGCTGACTTGATTCTGCTGTAGCTTAATAAAGGTTATTCGATAATGCTCTAGTTCAGTTTCTCATTTCGCAATTAGGTTGCTCACGCGACGGATAAGATTGCATGACGATGAATAAAAGCGTGATACTCGCCACATAAGTTCTTCCACCATAAGAGCAAGAGGCCCTGCTCTCCTCGACGAGCAAGCATTGCGGGCAACAGCGGTTGAGTAGGATCATCTGATGTTCCCTGGGACATTCCAGTACCGGACAGGTCTCCCTTATGCACGAGATCGCCGAATTGACGCAGGTGCAGCGCGTACAGTGATCCACGTAAAATTCACTACCCGAGTTATATAAATGCGTGCCGAGCATGCACGCGCCTTTCGGAGGTGAGAAAAATCTTGCACTGCCTGTGTGATGAAGAAGTAGTGTTTTTTAATCTTTTAACCTGAATATGTGCTAATGATCGTGTTACAAGGAAATTTTCTGAATCGTTCCCTTGTCATGCTTGTCAATTACGAATTATTTTCTCACGTGTAACTGTATATCTAATGTTATCTACGGTCCAATGAGATATACAAATAGGTGTCTGTAGGTAATAATATTTGTAAATTGTTATGTTAATTTTATGTAATATTTTTTAATTTATGCAATCTTAACGCTACCATTTGTATTTTTATTCGATGTAATTATCGCGATATATTTCATACTTTGCATTATACTTTAATACAGAATTTGAAAGTTGCAGGGAGGTATGTACAATCAAATGGCAGCACGTATTCTTGGATGGCTAGATGACAATCGTAATATTACGTGTCGCTGGTTTTTGCGCAATTGCGACATTGGAAAATAATCAGATTCGTATAAAACCGGTATCGCGCCTCTGGTATTGTAAGAGAGATTGAAATGACCTATAAATTCAAAGTGACTTTAATTGTTTGTGCAATTGCTTAGAAAATGTTCGTTTTGAAAAATGTTAAAAATCTCCGATAAGTATTAATTTAATCCCTCGAATTGAAATGCTTAAACGCAATAAATAAGTAATCTTATATTAATATTATATCTATATTATAATTAGCGGCTTATATGTAAGAAAAAAGAATAACGTGTTATTACCGTTATTTAAATTGAAAATATATATATGCAAATAAAAATAAGGAAGTGAATAATAATAAAGAACCGACTTCCTTTTCTTAAGCACAATTTTTGGAGGTCATTATTTTAGAGAAAGATCACTTCTTTTCTTTTTGGAGCAGAAGCACGACATTCTTAATGAAAACTATTTAACTTCTTTCACCTCGACAATGTGGACAGCATTCCCCAGATACATCGACGATCCTCGTTGAAGGACAATTAAGCGTCGGACAGGCTTGCTTCGCACAGGTGAGATGTCCCTTATTGCATTTACAGGTCACGCAGGGGTCTTCCGTCGTTGTCACCGACCTATCCTCCGTCACCTTCTGTCCATTTACTAAACAACCTACAAAATATGAATCGAACATTTCGCGTTTAGCTTCTTTTTCAGTATTCGAGAGTAAAATTATGTTTTTGGCTGAGAATATTAATTTATACGAAACACATATGTATCAATGTGGAAAGAGGCACAATATACATATATATTTTTCTTTTTCTTTGACTAATGTAACCACATAAATTTAACACGACATTCTCATAAGATTTCGCATCGTACAAATAATACAACCACGACTTTTTTGTATATAGAAAAAGATCGCGATTGTGTTATTTGTACGATGCGAAATTTTATGAGGACGTCGTGTTAAATTTATGCGTCGTTATATTATTCTAAAGAAAAAGAGAAATAGAATGTTACAACGTACATGTTATCGTCCGTTCGTTTTTCGTCGGGCAGAAGCGGTGCTGTAATTTTCAATCATTATCGTTCTCTCTTCGTTATATCAGCGGAACATTCCAGTTTTAATTGCGCGGCGGGCAATCAGAAGATCGTGAGAAATATTTGTGAGATTGGCGCGGGTAATTAGTAGCAGCAGCAGCAACATCAAAGCGCGCAAAAAAAAAAAAAAAGAAGAAAAAAGTTACGTACCTTCGCATATAGGACAACACTGGCCAGATGGGGCCGCTTTCGGATGAGAACAGGGCGTGTAACATCGTAGTTTTGATTCAGTGATGACCCCCGCTTTACAGGTGAATATTAGACAGGGATCGTTTTCTTCCGTCCATTCCGTGTCCGATGCGTGATATACGCCGTTCTGCATGCATCCTGCGATGTAAACGCGACCAAGTCTTCTAAGTACAATCATTTACACGCGAAATCGGACATCAAATATACATACTAGCTTGATCAAAAAGTTTCCGGAATTCATTCAGAAAATTCAAAATACAAGTTTATTCATCAAAAGTGATATTGTCCCCTTCAAAGTACTCTCCAGCGACTGCAACGCACTTATGCCAGCGCTTGATCCAGCTCTCGAAACATTTCTGGAACTCTATTATTGGTATAGCCATCAGAGCCGTCTTCGATTTTTCCATTACCTCCTTTCGGCTGTTAAAACGCGTTCCCCGCAGGTTTTTTGACTCGATCGAACAGAAAAAAATCGCAGGGAGCCATATCGGGTGAATTCGATGGCTGTTGGATGGTATTCGTTGTTGCAAACTCGTTGTTGCAAATTCAACTCCATTTTTAAAACTGTAAAAAATCGGAAACACGCGCAGAGGTAGATGTACTCAAGACGGCGTAATTTTTACAAATGTCAAGCTATGGCGATAAAATTTGATGGAAATGTCAATGATAGATGTGGCAACCTAGCCAAAGAAAGAACTCAAATCAGCTGACTCAGAGCATCACCTGGTGGTCTCTTCCGGAAACTTTTTGATCAAGCTGGTATGTTGTCGACTTAAAAGTTACAGGCAAGACTATTTGCTTTGTACTTTGAAAATAACATATTCGAATAAAATTTGGATATTCACAGACTGCAAATTATTAGGATAAGCTTAATTTTTTTAATTACTGCAGAAATACCTACTTATCTCTTATCTCTTTTTCAAGTAAAACTACAAACAATATTACATTTTATTCCTTATATTTCGTTATTTATTTTAATATTTTCTGGCGCTTTTAATATTTTTTAGGTGCTTTATGCACTTTTCGGTCGGATTTTGCCTTCGGCAGGCAGCAAGTAAGCTTACGTCACCATTAGCATAATTAATAGTAGACGATAACAAAGACCATGCATCTGTCAGCTACATTTCGTAAACAGAGACAGCCACGAGAGACTGTGACGTTAAAGTTCTTCGGGTTTATCATCACGTCGGCAAACAGAAGTGTCTTTGTGCCCCGGGAACAATGCTCCGCCGAGCATTCCGCCGAGTTTTCGCTCTTTTCCTTCTTACCGCCACCGACATATTCTCCCTCTCCCTTTTCCATTCCGGTTGTGGCGCGGGTAAACCCGAGCCAATTAGAATGATTAGGATAATTAGACGAATTAGCGAACGGACAGGTATTCTACCTGTGCATTTGTGGCAGCACTCGTCGTCGCGCGGGTCCAGCAATGCGTAGCAACCTTCGATGTTCGGACACTGTTGTTTCAAACATTCCACGAATCCATTCTGGAAGGAAAGAAGCGAAAATTTATTCCTCTTGCGTATGGATGTTATTCAAAAGTCATGCACTTTCTATCGACTTTTCTTAATGTGCCTCAAGAAAATGTCAACTTCTGAGATAGCCGTAGACTTATATATGAGAGAAAAGTTTTGACCTATTTTTATATAAAGAAAAGGAATATCTGTTTTGCCATAAATATGATTTATTATATATTTCTGGAATATAATTCGTTGTGCTATTCGCAATTTGATAGATTCAAAAATGATGACTTGCTGAAATTATTAATTATTCACGAGATTTCATCGAAAAAGATAATGTCGTTAGGTTTCAACACGAGAAAAATCACGAGCTGTGAGAAAAGAATGTGAATATCCCAAGTAAAACATATTATGAATCGGAAATTTGGTTTGCAATTGAGTCACACAGCGGCGACAGCGAAATTCCGGCTTGATTTTTTTATCGCTCGTCTTGTTCCGACTTCTCGTCCACATTATCGCGTTCCAGTAATTATTTCTCCGGTTTCGTTATCGGGTTCTATAATTAAGTCTTTACGGATTTATCTTCTGTCAGAATTACGTAAACTAATTTAAACGTGGGTTCGACGGTCATCACATACGTATTAGACGCGTGGACCTAATTACACGTGCCACGAAAAAAAAGATCTTTGTTTTTTAGGCTCCCTCGTCTAACTGATATTTTTACGCAACTTGCCTGAAATTAATTAATCATTTTCATAATAAACATGCGGGAAGATAAAAACAAGGAATATACCATAATTATCGATAGATAAAGAAGAAAAACAAAGCTCTGTGAAGAAAAAAGTATCAATTGTATGTATAAAAATTAAAATCAAGCAAACACTCGATTTTTCATTATTTAATTCTTCATTATTTAATTCTTCAATGACATTTCCTCATAATTGTATATTACTGCAATCACATGTACTTTTGTGCTTTGTATTTGCACTTTTTTTTATAATAACTAAATGTTAATTATACATTATTAATAAATTGTGAATTTCACTTTCGTTAGTAGTCAATATAATAGGAATACTTTTGATAAAGGAATAAATAAGTACACTTACTATAATAAGAAATAAGAATGGAATAATTTCATAAACAAGAATAATTAAATAATGAAGAAATTAATAAATCTTTGCGATAAGAATGTAAATAAATAAACGTGCAAACATTCATCTAAGCTAACTGAACGTTCGTTTCGCTCGGGCGATTTATGATCGCGTTTCATAAATCGTGAATGATTGATCGCGGTCGACCGCTTCGGCGCAACAAACAAATAATTATGTCACACATTGACCGCCGTCAGCATACTGCCCGTCGCAGTAGCAACAGCAGCAGCGGTAACATCAGCAGCAGTAGCAACGGTGGCGGCGGCGGCAGCGGGGCGAAAACAAGAAGCCTCATCTCGGTCGGCCACGAGTCGACGAGTCAATGAACCAAACGCGCAGATAAATCGCCGCGGTCGCGCTAAGATCATTCGCGATGCAGTTGGTCGAAAGATGATCGAGGCTACGGCGACCGACGCGTCATAAGATAAACGCGTGAGCGTGCGTGCGTGCGTGCGTGCGTGCGTGCGTGCGTGCGTGCGTGCGTAATTTTAATGTAACCCTGCATTGGAGTGCGTGCGTGCGTGCGTGCGGGCGCGCGCGCGCGCGCGCATTCGCTGCGCAACCGCGAATCGATTGCATCGAACGGATCGATGTGGAAATTCTTCTCTTTGACCTCCCGAACCAGGCCAAGCTACTTTAACCCCTTTAACCGTTCCGTCACCACATGGCGTTGCCTCGTCGTGTCTGATAACGACACAATCTACGAACTGGACTATGAAAATGGTTACGCAGCTTTCCATGTCTCTCGACCTCCCTCGCGGTTTCTTCTCTCTCTTTTCATTCCCCACCCCTTTCCTCTTCTTAAAAGAAGAATCGCCGTATCGGATACTACCAGACGAACTTTTTCGCGATTCCCGCTAGTCTTGTCAACGCGTCACTCGATACACGTACGTGTTTCTCGTCTGCTACTCTCCTGTTGCGTTTGCATTCCTTTTTCGCATTGAAACACTTCGTCACGTTACAATATTATGATATGTATGACGTCTCAGTATTCTTCGTCGAGTTCGAAATCGATTTTTAATGGAAGTTTTGTATATTATATATCTCAACTGTGAAATTTTTCAATCACGTATTATAGAGTTTGATTTATTATATGAATTATATACTTCCATTAGTTGAAAATGGATGAATCAGAAGATTCTGATTATATCAATTAGAATTCTAATAGATTTAATCAGAAAATTCTGATTCGTCCATTTTCAATTAAAATTCCATTTAATCCAACCAGACATTTTCTTAGTGTATCAACTTTCCGATTGATAACACTATCTCTAAATTCTTTGAAGTGGAATCTCACTCTAAAGAGTGAAAATTGAGTCAAACTTGAAAAAGAGTGGCTCAATTTTCTTAAGAGATTTCTTCAGAGTAATAAGATTCTCTAAAAAGTTTTAGAAAGTACATATTTTGATTGACAATCAAACCAACCATAAAACCTTTCCCCGTTAAGTTTCCGAAAGATTAAGTTTATTCATCCATACGGATAATTTATTCAATTGTAATTTCCTGTGTTATTAGGTGCTAATTAATTATTCGGATACGCGCGGTTTACCTTGCAAATGCAGCGGAAGCAGCTTGTGTTCAGGATCTTATCGACGGTGATATCTTCTCCCTCGATGTCGCAAGTCTCTCGGCTTCCTGTAATCGAACAGAAACAATTGCAGTGAAAAGAATGAATAAGCAGAATACATATGCTCGCGCGTGATATCGGTTGTGTACCACGCCGCAATATCCCGGTAGTCCAATAGCGCGATAGAGACGCTGTAATCACAATGCAGCATTCCAATCGACCTTCGTATATATGCTAGAAGCTTCCTCATTCCTTCATACACGTCGTACGTGAGCCGAGCGCTCAAAGATTTACTATTACATTTTGGATAGTGATCGTGTACGATAAACATAGATCGCTTTCAATGATCGTTTCTAATAACGTTTGAGACTCAGTCGCTAAATTAATACGATAGAATGAAATGCCTTAGAAATTACGAACAAACGAAATACAGCTATCGCCATAATTAAATCGCGATTGGAATAAAATTAAGTCTTTACATGTTAAATCAATTTTATATAGATAGCTTGATAGTTTTATCCGATAACTTTTCTATTCAATAATTTATTGTAGACGTGAAAAATCATATGCGAGAAACATATTTCGCAAATATTTTTAAGTAACTTAATTATTTTTTTAAGTAACTTAAAATGACTGAGACAAATTCTTTTCGGCAAATTAGCTTTCTTTTCTTTTTTACTTTATTTTTTCTCGCTCCCGTGTTATTGCCCTATAAAAAAATTAAACGCGACAACATGAACGTACCTTAGGACGTACCCCAGTCGTTAAATTGTCCATTTCCCAGCGAAAATCATGTCGCGCTCCGCTGCTAGGTCGACGAAGCCGCCATCACCAACGTCCCTCCCGGTTCCCTCGCGCACGTATTCCTGCACACTTTAAGCAACTTTTCTGTAAAACTCCAGTCATTTCTCTCTCTCTCTCTCTCTCTCTCTCTCTCTCTCTCTCTCTCTCTCTCTCTTTTTTCTCTTTTTATTTATTACTCTCAAAGCATAATTCACCGAACCGTTAAATTTTCTAACCAAGTAACGCTTGTTTTCTATTTTTGAATTTCCATTCGGACATATATGAGAGAGTGCGTGATTAATTAATTTTTATTATTACTGTTTATCTATTTTTGAATTATTTATTCAGACGACATATCACATTCTATATATAGAGCAGAATAAAATATCGCCTTTGTCACTTTTCTTTTTATCTTTTCTTCTCAGTCGTCCTAATGGAGACAATAAGTTTGGCGTTTTTCCCTTCGAGAAAGCTCTTTGTGTACTCCGTCACTGCTCTCAGAGATTTAACGCGTTGTGCACTTTTCGAGGCGAATTCGTATCATCAATTCCTTCGGCTCATTTAGATGTACATATATCTCTTCACGAAAAATCTCACGAGAGAGGATCAGTTATTTGCTTTATGGATAATCGATTGCAAAATTTCTAAATACTGCCACTTTCTATCAGAAATATTTAAGATCCATATTTTTATAACACATGTGATTAAATTATCCGATTCTAAAATTTGTCTTTTATTGAGTTTAAAAAGATTACATCAATATTTCCATTTTATAACACCGAAAAAAATGTTTAAAAAAATATTCACAGGTACAATAAAATAGTTTGAAATAAGTCATAATAAAATTTAATGTGAATATGTATACAGCATCTTAAAATCAATGGAAATATTTCTACGAAATGCATAAGAGAAAAAAAAGAAATATTTATTTTCAATCAATTTATAAATTGATTTAAAAAGTCGTTATTGAACGGAAAAATATTATATGATAATAATTTCCTTATTTTACCGAGAAATTAATTTTTAAGTAGTAAAATAAACATAAAAACATTATTACGTAAAAAAGCAAGTAGAAACAAGTGGAAATTAAAAATCAAAATAATAAAAATAAGGGGATATGAGTTTAGCTAAATGTTTATTGTTAAATTTTAAACAAAATTGATGAACAATTTCAACAATGAATAATAAACGTTCCGACTTCTATCAAGTCGTTATCTATGTTGAAAAAAAGTATTATTAAAAACTATTTATATATATTATGAAATTATAAAAGCAACGTTTAAATCCAAATCATTACACTATTTTAAAATAAAATTAATATTAGGTTACACTGAGACATCGTGTTGAGAAGTTGCCAAAATTTGACAAATATCGCGCAAATGTAAGGCTTCTTTTCATAGAATCCATGTGTAAAACGATCAAATGTATAATTTTCGCCTATCCTCTCGTCAACCGAAATGAAGCTGTGCTTATTCTGTGTAGTTAAATTTGTCAGTTCTTATTGACAAATTAACTAGAGAACAAGAACAGTTTCATACTTTGACAAATTATAGGTGGAGTTCACATATTTGATCGTTTTACATCGCGATATTCGTCAGGTGTTGGAAGGAAACTTTTCAACAAAATCAATGCAATTTAATATTAATTTTAAAATTTCTAAAATAGTATAATTGGATTTTAAACTTTGTGTTTGTAATATGTATAGTTTGTATCGCATATAATTTTTTAAACATTGATCATGACCTGATAGAAATCGGAACGTCTGTTGCTCGAATTGTTCATTAAAATTTAACACTAAACATCCAATTAGGTTCGTAGATCTTTATTTTTATTATTTTGATTTTTAATCTATATGGATCCTTTTATTGTCTACTCTTTTAAATGGAAATTAATTATATTCATTTTAATCGGGCAGACTTTCTTAACTTTTCTAGGAACTTCCCGAGAAAATGTTCAAACTCTAATAATCAACATGAAAACTGTTAATATTGTGATAGTATTGTGACTATTAAATAGTGACATCACGAGAATTCACAGAAATCACATCGTAAAAGTAAGTGGCAGTAGTCAATCAAGAGATCGTTCATTTTCGAAACATTAATACTATATTAATTATAATTATCGTATTCTTCTGTTGCTTTTGTTAACTATTAGAGAAAAAAACTTTGATATATTACTTTGTACAAGAAAAGTTGGTTGGCATTCGCGACCGTTTTCTTCTTTCTTTCTTTTTTCCTTTTCACGTATTTGTACATTTCTTTTTTTCATATTCTCACGGTTTATTTCATCCGTGATTTTTCACGGAAAAGCAGCGAAACGCATATAACAAACCGCGCGCGAGACATTTGTGTTTGCTAAGTAAATTTAAAACAGTTTTGTACTGCAATCTTTTTTTCTCTATCATCTTAATTATCTTTCCCTATATATTTTTTTTCTTTTTTTCTTTCTCTTTTCCATCGATTCTGGATGCTTTCTTCTTTCTTTCTTGTGCTCCTCGAGCTATTTGCACGGTTAAAAACTCGGAGAGCAGTCTGAAGAGAGCGCGCAAAAAGTGGCATGAAACTCATGCTGTTCATTTGTCAGATGCCAATTTTCCGCATGAGATAAATGTAGATGAATTTGTACCATTCGAGGAAATTAATACTACTTTATTTGTCATAATAATTATACACAAATTACATCATAGAATTATTGCATGAAAGTCATAGCCTTCATATGCGCGAAAAGAATTTTATTTTTTATTTAATTTATGTAATTAACGTATAAAGGAAGAACAGTGCGAATTAAGTAGAAAATTATCATTCATGTAAAAGTGCCATGATTCTCAAGAAGATTAATAGATATCATTAATATGCATGTCTACGACATGGCAATCAAAGCGTTAAATTGAAATTTAAATAAAATTTCATAATGTATATGTATAAAATTAAATTTCTCAGAATTATATATATACTCATAAGTATACATATAATTCTGTATTCACAATTATAATTATTAAATTAAGAAACTTTAATGATAAAAAGCTTCATGCAATTGAGAATTACTTTTTCTTCAGAAACTTGATTTATTGAGAGATTAAGACACTTAAGATTAAGTGTCTCGAAAATTACAGCTCACACAGACAAAATAATATTACTTTTAAATTATATTAATCTAACACTTTTTATCTTTTAAATCGTTTAATTTCAATATAATAAAATAATAAAATATAATAAAAATACATGAAAATCTCCCAAGGAAAAATAATGTCAAAATATGTCTTAAATATTAAAAATTATTCCCATCATAACTTAATTTGCAATTAACAACATTCTTTTCTTGACAATTAGTTCTCATTGCCAACTGTGACAGCAGGAAAGCAGAGCAATTGAGAGCGCGATGCGTCAACTTGTTTTTAGCATTTGTTTTTTTAAGTTAAAAAAAGCTGTAACATTTAATCCTAAAGATAAATAACATTCAAGAAATTTGACAATCCTAAGGCTTACATCTAAACGTAAAATTAAATTAAAATAAGGCATGTAAATAATTAATCTTTTATTAATCTTCTTACTTGATTCATAAAATTTCATATTTCATAAAAAAAAAAAAACAATTAATCTTTTATTAATCTTCTTACTTGATTCAAGAAATTTCGAATTTCGTATTTCATAAAAAAAACAAGAGATTATAATAATAAATTAGGAAACATATGTGTGAATATAAAATTATATAGAGAGCACAAGTTCAATTACGAACAAGAATCTGTAAGTGCAGACAAACGAAAGATACTTATATACTTCCAAGTTTAGGATTAATCGTCAGATGAAACGAAGCCGCGCTACGCGGCTAAATCTAATCGGTTTCGGGCGGCGCTAATGATTGGCATTCTCAGTATTATCAGCATTCCGCGACTACAGCATATCAAAAGTGTTTATAAAATCGTACTTCGCTCCCGCGACTTCTGCGAAACAGCGCGAATCGGTCACTGATTAGCTCTGGATAGTCAGTGGGAATGCAATTTCCTGAAAAACACGTAGCGTTGCTCGTCCTCGATTACGCTTCGTAAAGAGGGACTTGCGCTTCCGCCGATGAATGCGGACAATTTCCTAGATGCACTTAGCCATCGTGCAGTGCGTTGCGGCGTCCTGAAAAAGGACACGGAGGGAAGGGACGAGAGGTGATATTTACGCACTCGTTGCACTCAGCGTAAGTGGTCGTTTAGGTTGAACTTACAACCGCTCGTTGTTCCGCGCGGATACGGTTACGCCCGATGCAATTTCCGACAAAAATGACGCACGCGCGTAAAAGGGATACGGTTACCATCGTAAATTGAACTCTGCCGGACTGACCTCGTGAAATCGACTTTGTTGTCGTTGACCGATATGTTTCACAATACGCGCCAATTTGGTGAGCGATTGTATGTCGCGAAAGTAAATCAGTCGTCCCGTAAAAGACATTAATGCGAAATCGCGTTGTTAAGCTAATAATTTGCAAAAATTAGTCGAAACAACTTCTGTTATATGCAGTATGTAATCTGTTATAGAGATTATGTATTAAAAAAGTTTTATATGATTTTAAGAGCTCATTTCAAAAGATATGTACAAGAGAAGTAGAAATATTTTAGAAGAAGAAATTTTTTCTGGTATATAAAATATTTACTTAAATAATTTGTACATAAAAGTTCAAATTTTTTATGAATCATAATTGATTGCGCGTTGAAATCCACAATAATGGATAAATTAATACATACGATTTTTCTAATATGATATATTTGCAGATACTATAAAAGATAATAATAACTTATACCTATATAAAATATCATGATTAATTTTTTTTTTTATAAAAATCGACTAACATTTTCATATAAACTTCAACTACAAAAAAAAACGTTCGATGATTATAAAAGGTTTAATTAATTTTTTGCATTTAGCACAAAAGTAATGTATTCGATATCCCTTAAATACTTCAAAAGTGTTGTTTTGTAATTTTGAATAATTTTGGAAAACAAGTAATTCTTACGTACTTTATATATTATGAGTAATCCATGGATACTTTTCAGATAGAAGGACTTCCGCAAGGATTAAAATGAACGTGTAAGATTTGGAAAAAATAGTCACAAAAGTGGTGCATAGTGTTTTAAGAATTCTCCTGAATAATTTGTCAGTAATTACGGTAACTCGCGTAAATTCACGGAAATTCAGGAACAAAGCATTCTTACGAGAATGCGAGGCAGAGACGGCGACCTGCTCCACTCGCGATGACTCGTACGAACCGTGAGATTCGACTCGATTCTGGCGCAAATAGAACGGCAGATAATGGAGATAGGCTAAGAATAGAGCATTTAAAAGGCGTAAATGGAGCATGACGGACTCGCGCGCGAGTGCACTGCGAGATAGCAAAGCAGCTGGAATCGGGAATTCGATCGCTTCGTCGGCAATATTCGCGCGTAGCTCTTGTTGGGTCTTGTTCACGTATTCGTATATCGCGGAAGTATCACTCGACACAACTATTACGAAACGCGAACGAAAGCGAGATAAAAACGTAGTTTTACGCCGTCAATCCCGAACGCGCGATATTTCTGCTACTTTCTTTCATGATTTCTTTATATCATTCACGTATCAAAAAACGGAGAATACTCGTAATTATTATTAAGAGAATGATAATACTATGAAAACTACTTTGAGATTATAAATTTAATGTCGATAGAAGGAAAAGAAATTTTTAAACGCTACAGATTAAGGCTCATTAAGGAATAATCGTCATCATAAATGTAATAATGTTAAATCTGACTTGCAAAAAATTTGAATGAAACATGTAATAGGTATGGTTATGTAACATAATTATTGTTTCTTTCGCTGAAAAAATAAGATAAATAACATAAACAAATACAATATGTAATAGTATTCTCCTCCTTCGAGCTGTTACTAGGATGTAATATATTAGGTCGGGGAAAAAGTTTCTTCGTATTTAAAAAAAATTTTTCGCAAAAGTTTTTCATTTGTTGCAAAATTTTCGTTACAATTATATTATTCGTTAGACCAAAGTTTTAGCTTTAAGAATCTGTTTTTTAAATTGCGGTGAGATGATTTTTATCGGAGTTACGAGCATCAAATCTAATCAAAGTTAGAATGCTCCTTTACTTAATTCGCGAATAACTCAGTAACAAAAAATCATAGGAACATTTTTAAAAAATGATTTTGTAGGAAAAGCTTCGAACTTTTACGATAGGTAGTCGAAAATTTTTGTAAATTTTTTTTGGACACGTGAGAGACCTTCAAAGTGAAAAGAAAAATTTTCATCTTTTTCAGCTCGCAGTTTTTTTGATGTAAAAATTATCAAACTCACAGAAACTGAAAAAATATAGTAATTTTTCGAAAGTAAAGATTTCAAGCTTTAAAACTCTCTTTTTAAATTGAAATTTCATTTATTTTTGACGAAGATATTGTATATACAATTTTGAATTAAAAAATACGAAGAAACTTTTTCCGACCCAATATAATGATTTATGTAATTTATAGCGACAGGATTGTTTCTTAATCAGTAATTAATTTATTAGCGTTCTCTCTCCTCTCTCGCACGTAAAGCTCTATCGAAAAATACAGTTCTTTTTTTCTTTTATTGAAAAGAATACTTTTTACTTTATAGCACATAAATATTCAAATTTAAATTCTATAATATATATTATATAAACATATAAATATTGAAAAGAAATAGAAAACGATAATTTTGATCAAATATATGTTATCCGATATAATATATATTCCAGGATTATTTTAGAACTTCGTCAGAAAACACTTAGTTTTTATTACTCTGAAAAAATAGCGCGATGGTACTTCTCGCTTATGTACTAATTTGAATGCAACCAAACAGCATCGATCGAGTTTCGACGTTGGCACCCTTTTGAGCCCAATCATTAGTCAGCTATCAAAATAACACGCTCGCAATCGTTGCGTGCGTCGCGCGTGCTTCTGCGCTCATATAATACTCACCGATTATACTTTCTGAGGTGGCATCGCAACGATGTACCGTCGAAAGGAAGGCCAGGGCCAAAGCCAAAGCCAATGTCGAAGGTAATCGTGTCAACTCCATGTTTAGATATACCGGATCTCAGACTTTGCCGCGACAATTTGCTGAAAGAACAACAAACAAGATAATCATTAACCACATGACTTCACATTTTTATTTTCTTTGATCGTGCAATAAAGTTGCAAAACATTTGTACAGATTTATATTTTCAAGACACGAGTCAATGTTTATGTATTACAAGCATGTCTCCGATAAAGATGGTGTCAACTTGATGAATTTTTGCATACTTTTTAACTAGATAAACGTACAGCATTATAATAAATTTGTCGAGTAAAGCAAGAATAATCTTACTATGCAAAATGCAAGAAGCATTTATATTATATTCCATATTTCAATTTATATAAATTTAACTTTTTGAAATGATTCCGAGATATTAGATAATATTTAAGATACAGTATTCAATAACGTGTAATACGCATTTTTTCTTTGTTCGTTTAGAGAGTTACAGTAGATTTGAAGAAATCGTCAAGTACACTGTTAAATTTATATAATGTTAAATTATACCAATTGAATTATTTTTAATCATTTGATCATTTCTGTAGACGTCGCCACTCTTACTCAATATGTCATTAATTTAACTAAAACAGTAAAATTAAACAATTTAAACAACTCAAGAAAATGTGTTAAAAATCGACTCAAATTTAGTTTATCATTTACTAAGTGTATAGCTATGTTAATACGAACGTTGTTTATTTTACAAATAACTACAGATATAAATGATTTATATTTTAATATATATAGAAGTTAAAAATAACAAAATTCGATTCAAAAGGATTGGGTTGCCATTTCTAACAATGTACATACTATATATTGCCAGTAGCATTAATACATAATAGTCTGATGCATTTCTGTGCTTTCTATACGCTTGGATGCATAAATTTCCGTGGCGCCATAATGCAACATGAATTATATGCGCCGATACAAGCTCGTGTTTTTATTTAAAACAGCAAATTGTTTAATCACTCCACAAGTCTTAAAGCACATGCTATTAAATTCGAAAAATTAAGTAAAAAAGAAAGAATGTCTCGAGGGAACCGATACGATCAATACGATCGAAAGGGAGATAACGGAATACGCTCAATTATTCAACAACGTTATATCCATACTTTCCAAATGCTTCGAATAAGCCTAACGACTTTTGTTTGATTAATAAGATTCTAACGGTCGCGAGGATAAAAAATTTACGTTCGAGCGATTCTCGTCGAACAGTTCTTAACCGATTACGAAACCGATATTTACGCGTCTATTATATCTTTTGTATGCAACGCGAGTATCGTTACACCCACGACGAAATATCTCTATGCCGATGAGGTGACTCGACAAATCTATTAATACGTGCACACACGTATCGTTCGTCGAGGAGGCGCGTACGCGCCATATCGATAGGCACGATCGTAAAAAAAGAAGGAAAAAAAAAAGATATAACAGTCAACCGATAGGACCGAGAATCGAATTTATGAGTAGATATTCTTTCAATCGGCTGATTCGAACTCCGGGAATATTCCTGAACGCATAGCACTGCGAACGAATAGATTGCGTCAAGTGCGAAGATAAGTATATTAATCACACTCAGTTTTAGTTACTAGAGTCGTTTATTTCGAAAGTCGTTTAGGTCAGCTGAGATATTTGAATCGCTATGCCGTGTTTTCATCGCATATTTACGATATAATAATATGCGACAAGTTAATGTCGGAAAATACCGATGTATTAATTGTATCGATTGAGAGAAATAAACTTACTTTCAGTCACAGCGGATCTTACAAAGTGCTTCAATATTTCAGAGTATGATTTATAATATATCCAATTCCTGTAAACCGCACGAAATCTTTGTCGATCTTGAATCCCAAACTTAAACAATATTTTTCGTAATAAATTAAATTATTTTAATTTTTGAGATACTTAGGTTATCAATTTAATGTGTGACATTACTACTTTAGTTTTGTTCGCGATTGCGTTTCAAGACTGAAAAAGGCACGCGTTTGCAGAATTGGATACGTTGTATAAGGTCAGTTTTAAATTCCTGCACTCTCTGAACTGCACGCGATAATAAGTTAAAGTGAAACAAACATACGTTTCTTTCACTTCAACTTATCGCACCGTGTACACCAATTCAGAGAGCGCAGGAATAAAAAAAAAAACAGACCTCTTAATTCATTCTATGTGTAAAATAAAATTAAAATCTTAAGATATATATCTGTGTGTAAAATAACATTTAAATACTAAGATCTGCTTTAAGACCGAAAATAAGTCATTTTCATTTCTTTTAACTGATTTATTCTCGCCGGTCTAATACTTGAATCGTAATTGTTGACATCAATTGTACTTTTTACTTTCTATCTTTCGTCTGCAATTTCATGAAATGCTTGCAACGAGATACTCTCATTGTTTGAAAAAAATAAAGACGACCCCGTCGTTTCGCAAAGCGAAACTTTTCCCCGACCATGTATAAATTGTCTACAGAAGAAAATGTTATTATTTATTTTTCTCTATTGTGAAATGAGAATTGTGCTTGAATGGGAAAGATGATCGACTTCGGAGGGATATTGTCTCCCCGATAAATTTCCACGCTCTTCGATCTACAATTCGAGGGAACTTCTTCTCCGCTGTGCATAACGACGCGCATAATGACGCGTCGACACGAGATTGTTTGCAATCATGTAGATTGTTAGCACGAACGAGGCGCGAACAAACAACGCTCGCGCGACGCTTGTTTGCGAAAGGTACGCGAGAGGAGCTGCTCTTTCTCGTATCTTCTATCTCGTACTACGTAGTAGGCGGTCTAATCCAAATCGCAGATGTCGGCGATGTAATCACTGGTAATATCCCGTGCGATTACGCACGTAAGTTTACAACGTGAAATATGAGCGGAAACTGGGGCTGGGTAAATATTCGAACAATGATATCGTTCGAATAAATTCGACACGAGGATTCCGATTCAAAATATTTCAACGATCAAGATACTGAAATATCGGCTTTTGCACTAATTTATCTATTCAAATATTCGGGTGTATATATATATATATATGCTAGGATTTGAACATTCAGCATACTGGAATATCGAGTTTCGCACACTAATTCATATATTCAAATATTCGGTTATATATGTTTAGGAATTTAGTAGACTGATCGTAAATGTTAAAAAATGTAATGAACATCGAAGCATCGTAAAATACAAATTATTATAATATTCCCTATTAAATGTCTCCTTGATGTCTTTTTGTACATGTGTATGATAGATTTCGGTTATTATATTGCTGCGGAAATGAGAAGATAAATTTACGTGCCATGCTAATTGTAGATTTATAAAAGACGTAGATTTTTCCGATGTAGGAGAATAATATGGAAAAATGAGTTGATTTCTTACACGGAATACGGAATAGATAGCAGTATGGAAAATTATGAGAGAATCGCAGTTACCGAGATTATTGCCACAATAGGTACTAATTTAGCAATTAGGAATTAGCGTTAATTCTTTCTATGAAAATGAATGCAAAACTTGTACACGTACGTGTACGTTTTGAAACTCGAAATTGGATATTAGATCTTGTTTCATTGAGAATTGTACATTGAGAGAAAAAAATGGATTATAATTATTATAACTGTAGCCATTTTTTGTAATAATTATATGTATATTGTAACTGTTTTAACCATGCAAATATAGTTGATTGTGCTATTACTATAATCACACTTACTGCTCGAAAATCTTTAGCATTTTTTTTAGTTATTATTCTTTAATATATTTTTTAGCTATTATTACTGTATAAATAATAAGCAAAGTTAAAAAAATAATTATATTCACTATAATTAATCGCCGAATAAAAACATTCATTTCTTTTTCCACTTGATATTTTACTATATTAATGTTTGAAATTATCATTAATTATAATAAACGTATTAACCATATATATGAAAGTAAACAGAAAGAGAACTGTGCGTGTAGCGAAGAAATAATCTACCCTCAAGAAAAAGACTACATATAATTTTTGATTAACAAACGTATAGTGAATATATATCTGTGTGCTCTTTCAAATACTATACATATAATATTACAGTAGAGTGGAAAAACCAAAAAAAAAGCGGAATGGATCATGAAAAATGTATCATAATATAAAATGTAAGGACAATCTTTTTATCACTTCCACTATGGATTATCCACAGAACAATATAATAATGGTACACAATCGGTAAGCAATTCAGAATCCAGAATGTTTTGTATGATTATTCGCGTAGAGGCAGAGGCAGGTTGACAGGTAGTCGTAAAACATCAGCGTGGAAAATTTTCCCAACGCACAACGGCGTGTGCATGAAAGTATATCAAATTCACAAGTGTGTAGCGAGTCTTAAGTGGAACAGCTCTATTATGGGGCGTGATTAATAAATATTCGCACGTCACGCAGGTATAAGAGGCCGGGTTCACCTGATCCATTCACATGTGCGTACACCAATGCTTCGACAATCGCGCCGCCATTGTCATTGTATTTAGCGGCGACAATGTCGGGCAACATTTATTTCAGATGAGAGAAAGAGAATGTATAATATTTTAAGCATTTATTTAGGAAGGAAATACGTATGGAATTGGGAGATAACGACGCTTGCTCATACAGCCATTATTTGTACTCGTATATGCACTAATGTAATTACATTTAAATATAGAAATTATGACTCATCGTGCTTTGCATGTCTTCTTATCGCCAAAGTATCTTTTGAGTTGTCTTAAAATTTTTTCGATGTCAAATCTCATTTCTCGAATACATTTCTCAATAGTGCGCTAATAGATAAATGTTTCACATATTCTTATCGCTATTTAGTAAATTTTTAATCTAAATATTGTTAGACCCAATATATAAAGTTACAAATTAATATAAAGATAAGTCTTACGCCTATGACAGCAAATTTGTTTGGACTGCATATTAAAGTCACTGATCTAATCTGAGTGTAAACGTGAAATATTGCAAATATTTCGAATTGTAAAATAGCACAATAAAATGTTGAGGATTTTACAATTTAATCCGTTTCTATTTATATTAAACACAAATCTCTACGT